CTTTATCATATGTACTGGTTAGTTAGAAAACTAGTACCTACCAAGATTGAATGTGTTCACGATATATTAGCCTGATTTTTTATCATTCCTAAGGTGAGAATGCATTTCTATGAGAAATGAGACAAACGCTCCTCCAACCGCATCTCAATAACTACTGCACCATTTATCCGTCTGTTACTATGACATTGACAGATATTATTATTTATCACTGATCTCCACTGCATAAGCACGACCTCTAATTTACCAGAGGCAAACAGCATTGTATATTCTGCAAAAAGTCCATTGATGCTTATCTTTAAAAACTCTACAACAAAACACAACGTCGCGTCCACCCGTGGGTGGTTCTTTGCCAGCCATTAACTGTAACTGCCGTGTTGGTGCGTAAACACCACCGCTGGAAATACTCCCATTTCACGCATTACTGCTTTTAATATCTGCAGTGGGTAAACGCGGGTAAGTGCCCGTTATTAGCCTGGGATATACGAGGCTAGTTTTTTAAAAGGAGAGTAAGGTATGTTGACGGGTTTAGGTTTCAAAGAATTAGTTATTTTAGGCCAGCTATTGATAACATAGTATACAAGGGCCTCTAATTAGGACAATTTAAAAGGTAAGTAATTCTAGATTTTATGAGTTTTGAATCCCTTCTCCAACTTAAGCTATCGACGGTTAATGTCTTTATTTTATGCATTGCTTTAAGAGGAAACATTAAATCTGTATTGTCTCATAGAGAGCCAAAGCTGTGTAAACAGATTGAGTATTTAGCAGCAGCCTACACAGATCCGCATCCTACTGAAAACTAAGTTAGCAACAACAAAACAGAACTGCCACTAATATAAGTTGAATGGGCGGCTGAAACTTTCATCTGACTTGTTAACGAGAGCGTGGAACGAATTTAGACATGTCCAATGTCCATAAATAATTTGCCCGGCCGTAATCGTCAATCGACTCGGTAAAAAAAGATCGTCGTTGGGCGGAATCGGTCGGACCCTGGAATCGGTCGATGACTATTGCATTTTGAATTCGCAGGGACATTATGCAATTTAATTCTAATTTTAAGGGCTCGTAGTAGTAAGTTTTATTTACGAAATTATTAATCTTACTTGTACCTTTGTGGCCACACTAGTTTTGTATTTATAGAGATCATTTCATTGGTGGGTTGACGAATTACTCGGTTTTAAAGTGTAAATTGACCCGCATAATTAATTACACAGGATATTGCAGTCGTGATTCATCTTATTGTTGGATAATGAAAAGAAACTATTCTAATTTTAAAAGTGATAGAGTCACACGTCGCGTCGTTCTGTTTTATTATATGAGAACTTTATGGCGGTTCATAGGTTAATTTTCATCTTCTTAAACTACGTCCTGTAATTACTTTACGGTACTATGTCCAGCAGTAGAGGTTTTTGTTGGCTGAAACGATAGAACGAACAAACTGTTATGTTCTATTGAAAAATAACGTTAATGACGCAGCTTTGTTGAACTACGGTGTATCTGTCACCAGTGTTTCTCTTTCATAATAAACCTAGTCGAGATAAACACGATACAATTAACAAAGAAACTAAACAATGCTTTCTTTGCGGGTGGTACAATAGGCTCAGCTGTCGGACAGATCTAAACCTGTCCCGGTTTAGACTGCAAGTGGGGCACGTTATCTTGAGTCTCAACTCAGTCTCAAGGTGATATCTTATTCATTTTGAATCCTCCACAATCGCTGTTTCCTTCTAGCTCGCGCTAGATCGTTTTAATATGGCGTCGAATGAGACACAAAGAGATACTGCTTCTTGATTTTCTACTCAAATCATTCCGAAGAGTTGTTTTAGAAATAAACTTAGTATTTTTTATGTCGCTAGAATAAAGTACCTAGTCTACTTTTGATTGCAAAACTTTTGAGCCATATTCTAATAATTTAATCTACTCTAAATTGGAAAACTCAAACACTCAACTAAAGCTAATCCAATATTTTCGTTCCCGTCTCACTTTAAATTCATATTTCTCGGGAAGGAAATCTCTCGGTCGCCAAATTATTTAAATCGTCCAAAGCAATCCTAGCTCTTGACCGTTTTTTAGTAATTAATGTCGTCAGTAGCTCGCAAGACGAGTTCTGTAAGATACTCGAGTCCGCGCGAGAGTACTAAAGCGGACTCGAGTACGCCGCGGCGTTGGGTACAGTGGAAATGAAAGGGCGACTTTTTGCTTGCGTTAATAGAAAATGGTGTGATTTGCATTTTGAGACCAACGTTGAGGGTTATTACAGAGATAGTTTTGTGAAAGATTTCCAGGACGTGTGGAGAATTTTAGTGGGAGCTTACTAATGTGAATGGAACGTGTTGAATGCTAACATGAATTTAGAGTGAGGAATTTATGCATTCATTGTATGCAATGTCGTTGAGTGTTTAGCTAATGCATTTATGTAGGAAAGATAATTTGTTCTATTTAGCCTGGGTACAGACCACCGAATTTCAGTTGGCCAATAGTTGAGTCGGGTTGTTAATCAGTATGAAGATGTATGGAAGTGCGCACACTACACCAATTTGGTATCGGCCGATTCTTCATACAAATTAGAATTGGGCCCAACTATTGGCCAACTAAAAATCGGTGGTCTGCGCCTAGGCTAAGTACAATTTTTATACGGCGTCGCGTTACATTGTGTCGTTATGTGCATTTGCTATTCTGAAATAGACAGTTAGTTTGTAAGTTGATTTAAAAATATCGAAACCACACTGAATGCAAATGGTAACGGGGCACGAGTTCGCGATTTTGTCCGTGATTTAATATGGGCTACACAGAAGTTTAAAGTAGAGTTTGCATGGTAAAGGAAGACTTTGAATTACAGGGAAATAGGCAACTGTAACTTAACAAAGGTAATTGCTATTTTAACGGTTTAAAGGAGCCTTAATAATAATTTATGAATACGAGTGATTTAACAAGATTTCAAACCCTAAACTCGGTAAAAGAAAACTAATGATATACGACTTTTTGTGACAATATTGTTATAATAAAGTTATGCGGTAAAACTTCGTTCAGTTTCGGCGCTGTCACGGAGCAAATTGAATTAATAAATTGTATAGTGCAAAAGCTCTGAATTTTTTCACACAAAATTGCGCAAAATCTGCATTGCGGTCAGCCAAAACGAGCACGAGCCTGGGTGGAACAGTGGCCTTATAGAGATACATTTTGGAACAAAAGAAACGTTCTTTACTGTACTTTTTTGCTCCTACACACTGGTAGGGCAAAAAGATTATGAGACATGCATTCGTAAAGGCTCTATAAGCGCAAAACTTTATTGTTTTTAAGATTTTATTAGTCTTTTACTTTTATTTTTTCTTTAAATATTTCATGACTTCTTATCACTATCTAATAGTCTATACAAATAAAGAAATTTTGACTTTGACTCTTAATTCACTACATAATTCTGGAAATATGTGTATTTTCACCAAACTTATACTTTTACTGAGACAAATCGCCATCCACGCGTCTGTATGCTATCCATAGTCGATAGCACATAAAAGTATAATTTATTACTATAATTTAAGTTGCAAAAATTGTTCTTAGTGTAACCACATATTACTAGTAGGTTACTGTATAACTGAATAAGATTTCACAGTGCTTAGTTCAATTATATAACGTCTGTACAAAAGGTATCGATAAAATAGGTTCGACATGTCACAAAACTACCCATTGCCCCTAATGGGTATATCAGCAACGAGGCAATAATCCTATGCCACATTACCCCCGACCATTTGCCACGGTAATTATCCCCGCGACTATTATGAGAGCCATGCGAATATTAATGGATGTACAAACGATTGGACTGTTCTACCTAACTGGAACAATCCTCTTAACTAATGTCTAGTATGTACATGTATCAAAGCTCTTAGCGTTAAATAGAGTCCTTCCAGATATTATAATTCGTTTGATCTGGAGTCCTCAGCGTCTGCCGAGGAATATTTTATCTCGAGCACTCATCGGAGGCCCACGTCGGCACTCTGGGATGGTCAAGCGCGAACGGGACAAAGGATCTAGCGCCGAGTAAAGCTGAAAGCGCTCGATAGCGTTCACGAGTGCCTCCTCTTTTCACTTTGTGTGCACATCTTGGGATCGTCGTACTTGGTATTGACGTAGCGTTTTCTTGTACTTATACGAGTATGTATTCGATTGTTTGTGCTCGTATTTAGTAGATTTGTTAGTAACTAAGTAAATTTAAAAGAATTGACGTCAATTTTAGTTCGACGAATGTGTTGAAGTTGAGTACTACACATTTTCAATGTATTCCCTTTTAGCGTATGTTTTTGAACTATGTAGTTGGTGATTTTTTAAAGACGACTATGCAATTATGCATAAAGAGGATAATATGCGTCAGTCGGCATCGTAGCTCTGAAATGATTTGACCGATTTTGATGGGGATTATTTGCTTTAGAGCTGACGTAATCGTGATGTTCTTTGATAATTGAGGTAAGAAATATTCAAAATCTATTTCGAATGTTTGTTCTAAGTTTAAGACACTCGGCAGAACACAGACTTTTAGTCGGTCGATAGTTGGGCCCGATTCTAATATGTAGGTATGAAGAATCAGCCGATACTAATTATTGATTAACAGCCCGACCCAACTAATGGTCGAATAAAAGTCCGTAATCTGCGACTAGGCTAAGGCTGACTTGCACCACCTAACTTTGACCGTAACTTTAACGATAACTGGTGTTTTTTGTATGGAGTTTTGACGTTTGTCAAAGTTAAGTAAATTTTTTTTTGTCACGGAGGAAATGCTTTGCGCACCGTCACAACAGCCGGGGTGGTGTGTGGGACTCCCGGCGCCCTAAAAAGGGCGCTGCTCCGTCCTGAAAAGGACGGGGTATACCCACTAAAACCTCCGCGGCGTTCTGTCATCGCCCGAGTGGGGGTGTAGCGAGTATCCGGCCGTAGCCTTAGACTTCCGCGACGAAAGTTAATGTAAGATGGTGCAACCCACCAAGCATTAACGAATGAACGCAAGTACTCACGTTGATGACGACGCGTTCGCAGAAGTCGTGGTCGTGCTGTATGGGCTCGAAGGTGACGACTCCTCCCTGGGGTGGCTTCCCCGGCTCCTCTTCCTGACTGCACAGTTTTGGCAGTGACCTGCGGAGAAAGAGAACATTCGTTAATACCACGAAAGATCATGTACTATTAATATAAGTACAATTAGAACTGCGAAAAACATGGTATCGTCAAATCTGCATCATGGTGTCTGGTGTCGTGAAAAGCAGTGACTGCTCCACTGTTTTTTATAGATCCCAAGGAGTGGTTTCAATTATTTCGTGATAACTTTTATAATTGATATTTGACACATACTACACAGAAGGTGTAGTTTATATGGCAGATAAGTTACTAAGGTAATTATTAGGAACATATAATGTACATGAAACAGCTTACAAACTATCTATTTGGAAAAAATATTTAATTATGTGATATTTTATTTCGAAATGTCCACGAAACTTCAAACAACACAACGAGAGTTATGGTGCAGAGTGGCACCTGGCACAGGCGTCCCACGCTATACAACAACTAAAAACTCAAATTATACGAAAATGTAACAATGCACGTGCTATAAATCCGAACATATTTTAAGTTGATCAAAAACCTCGCGGACTATTAACACTCGACCTGAAATACCTACAGCGTCGGTGTTGCTGATTTACATACGAATGGGGTTCATATTTCAAGTTATTTTCGCTAGAGCTTACCCAATCAAAACGGCGAAGTTGAATTTTTGCCGCATTACAACCGCAAACTTATCTACGAAGCCGTTCACAAATTTGGTCATGTTGTTATTTATTTGCGGTAAACATAAAAATTTCTATTCCATTCTACACTTCTTTAAAATCTGTCCTTTTGTTCACTGCACAACTAGACTGCACCAAGTTTTAAAAACGTTTGAGCTTTAATTCCACAAGCTGCATTCGAGACCGACATCGATAACCGTTCTGAATGTAAAAAATTGCAAATCCATTTGCACAAATATTGCTGGGCAATGCAGTTTGTTCAGCATTTCATTCGTCCCATTGTTGCTTTAAGCACCGACTAAAATCATAGTACCAACGTTCTCATGCAGTTTCGTCCCGTAAAAATATAGTCTACGCTTTCATTGTGAAATATCTGCACTGTTTTTTTAAAGTTTGAACTGCATTTTTCACTGGATACAACTTTTAAAAACACTGTTGAACCGCAGGCACTTTAGTATTCACAATTTTATTCTTTTGGAAAGAAGTACTTATTCTTTTTAGTTCACTTTGTTGTTCTATTTGAATAAAATAGTTGAGAGGTAAAAGACGCATGCAGCTTGCAGGTTAAGCAAGCTACTCTCAATCGATGGTTGAGAAAACTATCTCGGGCACAAAAGTCATATGCTTCTGTCTGTATCTTATCTAACACTAGCTAGTATCTCACTAATGTACACTAGTCTCTTCTCAGCACTTTCCGCGGCGTAAGAGCGAAAGCACACGTTCCGTTGCGGAGCCGCATCGCAAACATTACGCCGTATCTCCCAACACGGCGCCGCATAGCCGCGGTGGGCAATAGTGGGCATTCATCGTCAAAGTTCAGGCGCTGCGAGTTACTAGTTACATTATTCATAATAAAACAACGAAGGGTAGAATCTGGGGTCCGTATTGTCGCAATCCAAAACCGGAGGCCTCAGAGGCCGCAGAGAGCGCAGCGCGCCGCTCAATAATGCATAGACTAAAGAGGCTGAGTTTATGCAGAGGCGTCCGATATTATCTGCAACTAGTGTAGCCGTGTCCCTGTTTTTGGGATGTCCCGGTTTTCACGGATACGTGGTGTCCCGATTTTCGTTCGATTAATTTGGTCCTACTCACTCACATCTTGAAAGTAAAGAAATGAGAACTGAGAACCGTTTCTATTTAAGTTATCTACCTAATTTTAAAACATAAGTCAAGTGGACCAGTCAAAGGTTCATAAATTACGGGTATAAAGATACCTACATTTGCGTAAATTTTTTAGTGTTATGATGAAAGTTTTCAGATATTTATTGGATGCACGCTCCTATCTGTAGGCAGAGTCAATATTGTCCCGATTTTCATCTCAAAAGGCCGGCAATTCCTGAACCTTGACTGCAACAACGCTCATCTATGATGCAGACTCTCTGATCGTGGACGGTGCAAGTTTATTCGTAATTTTATTTTGCGTCTCCGCTATGAATATTAGATTTCAATGCCTTCCACTGCACCTCGCAAGGTTAAGGATCCAAGGTGAAGGTCGCGCGAAGGTGAGATAGCAGAGCCTTATTACTGTTTCACGGGAAGCCTTGTAAACTTACACTATACTACCTCATCTTTCATTTTCTTTGATGTAGGTAGTTGAATTATTACGCTGCACTTTGTTATATTAACTGAAGAGGAAATATGAAACGTTTTATGAAGCTGGAGAAAAATTGCATTTGAGATGCGGTAAACAGCGAGAACAAAAAGTGACGTTGAAAGACACGTGTCGCGTACGAATAAAAAAACTCGTCGGTATAAAAAGAAGTCGTCTTAAATGGTGATAATGCACTTCGCACCAGCTGTGAAATGCACTTGAATGTTTACAAAGTCGCGATGCACTCAGAAATAAACAGGACAGTGTAAGGAATGCGCGAGGAAAAACTCATACTACGTGCGGGTATTGCATTAAAGGCTTGATTGCAATAACAACATACTGGTGTTTCTGTTGTAACTAATATTAAAAGTGCTATACGTATAGAGGCTTTTCTTCTTCTTCTTCCTCGGTCCCTCACTGATGAGGATCGCGACCACAGATAGTGTTCCTCCACAGACTGCGGTCATAAGCTGTATGGACCACACGATGCAAACTCCCGCCCACCGTCTTCCTCACCTCGTCCGACCATCTCGTCGGTGCCCTGCCCCGAGAGGCTACGTATAGAGGCTTTAGGATGCCTGAAATTGATCTTTTTATTCGTATTTTTCGATAGCCAGTTTTCTTATTTACAGTCAAAACTCCATGTAATTTCACGATATGCAACTCAAAATGTTATTCGTGGTCTAATTCCAATATCTGGTTCGCAACAAAACCAGGATGCATCAGTTAGTCAGGGATGTAGTCTGACAAATATTTATATTATATCAGTCTTCGCCCAATTTAATGCACTATAATGATATAATTTAAGGTCTTACGTAATACACAGTAAACCTACGCCCGAAGTAAAGCAGTGCCGTTAGTCAAACGCTCATATCCCTGGTTGTCAAAATATAGGTAATTGGGATAAAATCGGTTATTTCAGTGGAACCGATGTTCGACCGCCGCGCGTGCGCGAGTAAACACGCGTAAACTAAGCGTATGATTGCGCTGCGCACGTCTTTCGGCTCCCTGCAGGGTTCAACAAAATGTTGCATGTAATTGTTTTATTTATATTTCGCCGTAGATTAAAACTAATAAAGAGGAATTCGAATTTTTAGTTAGTACTTTTACAATCTTCTTTTTCAACTTCGAACTCCTATGTTCTTCTGATTAATTTCGTTGCGGGTCCAATGACAGTTTAACTTTCCCCCGGGACACACTTGACCTTCACTGGTTGGGTTTTTATTGGCGGTCAAGCTGTAGATCCTGGCTACACAGGAGTTGCAGTGGTGGGAAAGAGAGGTAAGAATAGTCGAGTTACTTTTACAATAATAAAGGTTTGGAGGAGAGTAATTATTTGAAATGAAAGCAATGTATTTTAAAATAATGAGAATACATTTTCAGCATAATTTTGGTTTTTAGCATAGGAAATAATATTATGTCTACGTAAAATAGAAAACAATATTCTGACGTTCACGAAGCCCTAGTCTATTGCACTATGGTGAATAGCGTGTGATGATGCGCACGCGCCGCTAGCGGCATCTATCAATATGTTTGTTTTGCCTCGGCGCAATTAGTTCACATCCCCGTGGACTAGTGAATACAATCTGATGGGGAGGCTCTAGGTTCGATTGTTAAGTTTGAAATAAAACGTTCAACTATAGTTCCCAGTTCAATTTCTTAGCAGAAGAATCGATACAAAGAAAAAGAAAACACTGTAAAGTAAAAGATTTATCAATAATGAGTTACCAACATAGACCGTATTTTTCAGCACAATTTCAGTTTTGAACACAAATAACTACCTATAACGATTTAAAAATAATATCACCGCAGAATACTGTATAAAAGAAACCAAATATGTCTTTGTCGTTAATATGACTGTTATGTACCTATTTATGTCACCAAACAACAGCGTAAAAGTTGCCGCCGGGTCGCGTAAAACATTTTCTTTGTAAGCAAAACTCTGATTACCAATATTCAACAGCGAAAGACGTTAACGGCCCCAATCAAGTGACGTATCAAAACAAATACGTCATCTATTGTGCTGGCTATACACGGGCACGTACAGCGGCTGAGGGCCCGGACGTGATCAAAACAGCTCCGAGCCTCCACTCAGCCACAACCTCTTTCAGCTGGGATACTTTACAGCCCTATTAACCTTTACGCGCAGGGCTGTATAAGTTTCCTTTAAGTTTTAATGATTATTTTGTGTTGGTAAATGACGGCTCTATCCAATTTTTGGGGATGAAACGCTTTAATGCCTGATTTGAAGCACATCCTTATGCATTTTACTTCAAAAATGTCACCGAATTTTTAACATGTGATTAATTAATTTAATCAGCAGGTAGCAAAATTTTTTGAAAAATAATTTCCAATGACATAATTAATCTAAACTTTAAAAGGTGTTGTATCTCGACGTTTTTAAGCTAAGGAGATAATTAAAAAATAGGATAACTCTTTATATTTGCGATTGTAATTCATTACGTAGCAACCCTTAAACATATGTTTTTGGACAAATTAAAAGTATGGAGAAAAATATACAGATAATTTGTGCAGCATGTCGAAAAAGTGAGGCTTGACACCTGAATTTGAGTGAAGATTAATTTTAATTTTTTTTAGTGATTACATAATTTATTACGTAATATTCCGACACCTTTAATGTATCGGATTATATGAAATAGTAGTAGTAAAATAGTGTAAATCTTATTTATTGGTGCTTAATTATAAGTTTCTTAATTACCTGTCAGACACTATATCATGACAGTAGTCAGACATGGTACAAACGT